TTCTACTATACATCATCATTCAATTGTGTATTATTTAGTCTCCATTTATTACTTCTATTTTTATTTTATTGTTGATTTCTAATTTCATTCCATGTGGTCTCATAGAATGCAAGATATTATCTCTTTTTTTTTTTGGATTTACTAAGATTTGCTTTGTGGCATAAGCTATAGTCTGTTTTAGAGAATGAGCCATATGCTGCTGAGAAGAAAGTATATTAGCTCGTTGATGGATGAAATATTCTACATATGTCTGTTAAGTCTAAATTATTGATTGTATTATTTAGTTCTATAGTTTCCTTATTTAGTTTTTGTTTTGGAAGATCTGTCCCATAGTGAAAGAGGTATGTTAAGGTCACCCATATTACTGTATTGTGGTCTATTTGACTCTTTAAATTGAGAAGCATTTGTTTGATGTACATAGATGTTCCATTGTTTGGGGCATACATATTTGTAATTGTTATATCCTTCTTATATATACTTTCCTTAAGAGGTATGAAATGTTCTCTTAAGGGAAGTATATATAATCTCTTCTGATTAACTTTGGTTTGAAGTCTAATTATCTGAGATGAGAATGGAAACCTCTGCTTGTTTATACAATCCATTTGAGTGGTAAGGTTTCCCCCCATCCTTTGAACCTTCAGCCTGTGGATGTCTTTGCTCATGAGGTGAGTCTCTTGAAGATAGCATATTGTTGGGTCTTGCTTTTTAATAAAATCTGCCAGTCTATGTCTTTGGATAGATGAGTTTAGGCCATTAACATTCGAGGTTATTATTATGATCTGATTTTGTATTCCCTATCATTTTGATTTTTTTCTGGTTTTTGATTTGTCTTAGATTCTCATTTGGTTGAGTGTTGTTTTAGTGTAGATCCTCCCTTTGCTGGTTTTCACTTTTTTTTCCCCACTTCATCCTCATGGAATATTTTGTTGAGAATGCGCTGTAATATAGACTTTCTAATTGTGAATTCTTTTAATTTTTGTTTATTATGGAATGTGTTAATTTCATCTTCAAATCTGAAACTTAATTTTGTTCGACATATAATTATTGGTTGGCATCCATTTTCTTTCAGAGCTTGAAATATATTATTCCAGGACCTCCTAGCTTTCAGGTTCTGGGCTGAAAAATCAGTTGAGATCTGAATTGGTTTCCCTCTATATGTAATTTGATTTTTTTCTCTCATGCCTTTAAGGTTTTATCTTTATTCTCTGTGTTAGTCATTCCAGCATAATGTGTCTTGGTGTGGGTCTGCTGTAATTTTGTACATTTGGGGGTCCTACAAGGCTCTTGTATTTGATTTTTCCGTTCCATTCTTTAGATTGGGCAATTGTTTACTATTATATCATTTAAAAATTATGCATTCCTTTGGTTTGTATCTCTGCTCCTTCATCTATTCCAATAACTCTTAAATCTGTTTTTTTCATGTTATTCCATAATTCTTGGATGTTCTGTTCATGGTTTCTTACCATCTTCTCTTCATGGGCAACTCTACTTTTAAGATTATATATTTTTTCTTCATTGTCTGAGGTTCTGTCTTCCAAGTGATCTATTCTGTTGGTGATGCTTTTTATTGAATTTATAATTTGGTTTACTGATTCCTTCATTTTAAGGATTTCTGCTTGTTTTTTTTTTTTTTTTAATGATCTCTAACTCTTTATTGAAATAGTCCTTCACTTACTGTATGTTCTTTGATTTCACTCCTCATACTACCTTTTATTTCACATATCAATTTAACTATATGCAATCTGAACTCCTTCTTGGACATTTTTTCTACTGTGTTATCAGCGGCTTCTGTTGTTGAAGCATCTTGGTTTGTTTGGGGCTCTTTATTTCCTTGTTTTTTTCATGTTGTTAGTGTGTTTTCCCATCTAGAAGTATGGATCTAAGGCAGCATAAAATCTACCCTGTAGACTTATAGTGTCTAGGTGTCTGAAGGTTTCCAGAGCCTCACCTTTAATGGTGAGACCAATATCAATATTACTCAGCATATAATATGTAGCCTTAAACCTAATAGCTCCCACTAAGGCAACTACTGCTTTCTGGCATTAAACCAAAATGATGAATTTAATAACTATCTATAGTATAAACAGAAATTTTGTTAAAATGGTTTACAATTTCAAAGGGTGGATGAGAGAACAGAGTAGTGTAGTATGTAATATTTGTAAGGGAGGAAGAGAGAAGCTAGAAGTAAAAATTCACAAGAAGAGTGGAAGAGGATCCGACAGAGATTGGCTTTTGATTGGAGAGAAGTTGGAAAGAAAATAGCATAAAAAGCATCCTGTTCCAAATATGGTAGAGAGATTAGTGAATCTAAAAATAAAATAAATCTTGCTGGAAAGTCAAACTGTCTCTGTCAGTGTTCAACAGTTTCTCAGCTCTGACTGTGACGTCTCTCGGGATCACCAAACCCAGATCAGCCCTTGCAAACCTAGTCTCTAGCCTACAAACCTGGGTTTCAAATACCTCAGGCTCTGCCATTTGTAGTCCCAAGATCTCAGTGCTGTTCCTACTTGCAGTGAGACCACCAGGAATACACTCATGCAAACAAGCAACAGCAAGAGATGCAGCAGCAATACCCAGGCCACTAACACTCTCAGTAGGAAGACCCCAGGGTCCTCCACACCCACAGGTACCCCAACACTGGACCTGCAGGTCCTGATTGGAGTCCCCAGACAGAGGGACTTGTGGTGGTAAACCTGCTGGCACCCAGGTCCCAGGCCCTGGCTGGTATCCCAAAATGGGTGCCACCACATGCAACCAAACCTGGAATCTCCCCTGCAGCAGTCCTCTAGGCTGTGGTAGCAGCAGTAGTGGCGGCTGCATTGGCAGTTACAACTGCAGCTTTGGGGGCAACGTCACCAGGTGATCTCCAGGGGTCAGCAGGAGTGTGGGCTTCAGTTGCATCCATAGTTTTTTCTGTGGCAGCAGCACCCAGAAAGAACACCTCCAGGTGAACTCAGTCTAGCAGTAGGGAAATCAGACGCAACAGCAGTGGCGGTGGTGGTGCAGGTGGAGGTTGAGTAACAGACTTCCGATTCAGCGGCAGCAACCATGGAGTTAGCATCAGAATCAAGTCAGGGGTAACCAGGCAATTTCCAGAAAAGAGACCTCTGGGCACAACATTGGCTTCTGTAGCAGCCCAGAAAGAAGACCTCCAGGTGACCTCAGGCTGGCAGCAGTAGAATCAGAGGCAGCAGCAATTGACACATGGGTTTTTATTCTGTCATAAAGAAGAATGAAATTATGGCATTTGCTGGTAAATGGATGGAAATGGAAAATATCATGTTAAGTGAAATAACCCATATTCAGAAAGCCAAGCGTCCAATGTTTTCTCTTGTGTGTGGAAGCTTGAGCAAAATACGAGGGAAACGGGCAGAGGGAGCCCATGAAAATCAAAAGGGTAGGATAGGTAGGGGGCAGATGGGAAGGAAGCAGGAAGAGGTAAAGAGGGGACTGCAAAGTGCACCTGGCCAAACTGTGCTGTGCACATATAGGAATATACCACAGTGACTTTCACTATTGTGTGTGTCTATAAAGCAGGGATTAAACAATAGGTAAATAGAAGGAAGACCAGTAGAGGAGAGGAAGGGGACAGGGGAAGGGAGGAGGGAAAGGAAAGGAGAAGTGCTGGGAATTGAAATGGAGCACGTTAATTCCATGCATGTATGGTTGTGTCAAAATGAATTGCAATATTATGTATGTGATAATACACTAATAAAAATATGTAAAAAAAAAAAAAAAACATTCTGGGCTGGGGTTGTTGCTCAGTGGTAGAACGCTTGCTTCACACGTGCGAGGTCCTGATTCGATCCCCAGAACTACATTAAAAATAAATAAACAAAAAAGGTATTGTGTGCAACTAAGAAATAAATGTTTTTCTTTAAAAGCATTCTTTGTGTAAAGAACAGGAAAATAGTTTCTTACCAGATAAATCTCTGTGAAACATCCTTTTACTAGAGAAATTTCTTGCAAATGTCTTCTTTTAGGCATAGTTTATCTTTTCTTTCTCTAGATATTATGTTTCACAGAGCAGGAATTTTAATTTTAATGGGGTGTATTGTATCAATCTCTTTCTCATCGATCATACCTTTGATATAGTATCAAAAAAGTCATAGCCAAATCCAGTCATCTAGATTTTCTCCTTCTATCTTGTACAATTTTTCTAGTTTTACGTTTTACATTTAGATCTATGATCCATTTTAAATTAATGTTTGTGAAGGGCATAGATTCATTATTTTATGTGGGTATGTCCAGTGTTCTAACAGCATTTGTGGAAAAGGCTATCTTTTCTCTATTGTGTTGCTGTCAATTCTTTGTCAAAGGTCAGTTGACTACATAGTTCTTGCTTGGTCTGTAGGGATTTGGTACTAGTATCTTCCTAGAGACCTACATCTGTGGATGGTCAAAATCTCTTAATTAAAATTCCCTGGTATACAGCCTAAGCTCTCATATACTTTACATCTTCTCTTGATTATGTTTAGTGCCTGACAAAATGTAAGTGCTATGTAATTGAAACTGGAGTTTGAAATGAAACCAGATTCTCCACTCTGCTGGTCTGTAGGTCCACATAAGTTATATGCCTCTGCGGCTAAGAGAGCCCATTTTAGTATTGCAACTAATCACAGTAGGGAAAAGCCTGTCTGGTCAGCTCCATGGGTCAGAGCTGGCAGAACCTGACTCTTCAGTATTACTGGGCAGTGTGTTGTAGCTCTCAATGGCAGACCTCAGAAGCTGGCTGTCATTTTTTTTTTTTTCTAGGTTCGTATTCACAAATTTGAAGACAAATCCATAGACAACAGAAGGCAAGAGTGAAGGTGTAGTATTTCTATAACTGAAAAGAAAAGAAGCAGAACTCTCTGGGGCTGAGAGGGGAACCTGAGAGTAGGTTTCCACTTAAGTGTACTAGTCTAGGGACTTAAATAGCTACTGGATGAGGCATTCATCAATATCTGTGCTAATCAGGTCTTGGAAAGATACTAAGGGTGTTGGTCAGTATCTATGCTAATCATGTCTCAAAAAAGTGCCAATACTGTTGGTTAACTCCTATGCTAAACCAGTATTGGAGAAGTGCCAAGGCTCTTGGTTTGGTCTGTGACATTCTGATTAGTTAGGCCTTGAGTCTGTAGTCTTCACTCAGGTCGGCTCTACCTCCTTTTTCCTGCCACCTGGGACAAAGAAGTTGGCTGTAATGTTTTCTATAGGTTAGTTTTGTGAAATAGCCTCTTCATTTAAAGTCTCTCTCTCTCTCTCTGTTTTTTTTTTTTTTTTGTATGGGGGAGTGCATTTTCTTAACTGTCTTTCTGTTTTACTATCTATCCTATCTTATTCATAATTACTTTTGTACTCTATTGATTTGGACATAAGCACAAAAAAAGTATGTTTAATAGAGATGTAATTTTTTCCTATTGTATTTTCTATCCATGGTTGTTGAATTCACAGATATAGAGGCCCAAATTATGTAGATCTGTATCTGTGCTCTCTACTCTGTTTCATTGATATATTTGGACCTGTCTGTGTCAGATCAGCTTATAAGAATATTGAGGTTCCACTGTGAATTTAGGTCAATCTTTCATTTTTTTTTTTTTTTTTTATAATTTTTTAGACCTTTATTTATTTTTATGTGGTGCTGAGGATCAATCTCAGCACCTTGCACATGCTAGGCAAGTGCTCTACCACTGAACTACAATCCCAGCCCAGATTAATGTTTTTTTCTTTGTCTTTCTGTGCTGGGAATTGAACACCTAGGGGCACTTTACCAAGAGCTACATCCCCAATCCTTTAAAATTTTGTTTTTCTTTGCTTTGAAACAGGATCTTGCTAAGTTGCTGAGGTTGGCCTTGACTTCATGATTCTCCAGCCTCCCAATCCCACCCTGGGATTATAGGCTTGTGTCACTATGTCTGATTCAGATCAGTTTTTCACATTAGAGGCTGCCTTTCCCCCCACATCTCCGCTTTTTTTCTTTTATCTTCTCTATTTTTCTTTTCTTTCTTCTTTCCTCTCCCTCCTTCCTTTGCCTTTTTTTTTTTCTTCAATGGATTTGACATTTTGTTTCAGTTAAACTCATCCTTCTCTGTTTTTAGATTATCAGAAGACCAAAGTTTGACCCAATCTTATGGAATTTGTGATTCTTCATTGCTTTCCCTCATGATATTCTTTTCCTCGTGTGCAGGGTACCCACTACTCACACCCAGTCTGATCTCCCAGTGGGGACAAGCGGAGGAACTGCAGACAGTGAAGACAGAACTTATCCAGGGCATCTGTACGGAGCAGCACCAGGAAGGCAAGAATCCCTGGGAGAAACTGGCCTGGGAGGAGAAAAAAATAAAATAGAAATGAAGCAAAAGTTTGTTTTGTCTGAGGAGGCTCATTATCCACAGATGCCTCAGAGGACTATTTTGACAGTTTATCTGTCCTCTCATACTTTCCTTGTTCTTGGCAAAGATCTCCGTATTTGCTTTTTTAAAGTTTGTTTTTGGTATGTGTATTTGATCCTTTCTGTTTTCCTCTCCTACTAATTGTTAAAAAATTATTAATCAACATTTTTAATATATTTTCTATACTAATATGAAATATCAAGTTAACAGAAAAATTTTAACATAAACTTTCTTTTTATTAAAAAAAATATTTATTTATTTGTTCTACTTTGTTATACATGATAGCAGAATGCATTTTGATTCATATGAAGCCCAATTTTTCATGTTTCTGGTCCCAATAATTTCTACTGGTCATGTTACCATCACTGTCATTCTTCATAGAACTATTTTTTATTTTTCAGCACTGGGGAACCCAGGAGTGCTTTACCACTGAGCTATATCCCATACCCTTTTTAATTTTGAGACCGGGTCTAAGTTGTTGAGGCTGTGCTGGAACTTGTGAACCTCCTACCTCAGCCTCCCAAGTAGCTGGGATTACAAGCATGTGTTACCATACTATGGTAATGTTACCATACTATGGTTTCATGGAAATATTTTTTAGTGAACTGTTTTACTTTTGACCCTTGTGCCTATTAATAATGAAGTCCTGAAACAGCTGCACTGCTCAAAGTTTTTTGCTCATAGGTAACTTTATTTAATTTTTTTCGTTTCAGGTTTTGAGTCTCTACTTAATACTAAGGAATTAGTTGCTCTTCAAGATAACAATGGAGAAAAAATATCCAATGAACAGAGAATAGTGCGATTCAAAAGAAATGGTTCCTGCTCCTCTATTTCACATGAAAACCAGGAGTTCCATGGTGTGGATGATTGGAACAAAAGCCATGAGAAAGGTTTAAGGTGAGTGCCCTTCATATAAGAGAAGGTAGTGCATCAGGAAACAATTTTGAGATTTAAGAAACATATTTTGGGGCTGGGGTTGTGGCTCAGTGGCAGGCAGAGTGCTTGCCTCCCACATGTGAGGACTGGGTTCGATCCTTAGCATCACATAAAAATGAATAAATGAAATAAAGATATTGCATGCATCTATAACTAAAAAATATTTTTTAAAAAGAAACATATTTTCAACATAAACCTAGGTCAAAAATTATGCTTTCATAAGAATGAAATCATGGCATTTGCCAGTAAATGGATGAAGCTGGTGCAAAGAACAAAAGGCGAAGTGTTTTCTCTGATAGGTGGATGCTAATTTACAATAGGGGGGAATTGAGAAGAATAGAGGTACTTTGGATTAGACAGAGGGGAGTGAGGGGAAGGGAGGGGGTGTGGGAATAATAGTAGTATTAATTGGACATTATTATCCCACGTGCATATATGATTACATGACCAGTGTAACTCAACATCCTATATAACCAGGAGAATGAGAAATTATACTCCATTAATGTATGGTGTATGAAAATGCATTCTGGTATCATGTATAACTAATGGAATACATGCAAATAAAAAATAAATTTAAAAAGAGAAATAAAGATTCAAATTCAAAATTAAAAAAAAAAAATTGTACTTTCACAAGAATTTTGTCTAGGTAGTTTTTCCTACAAATGATACTGAGATATTGAAGGTTTGACACATAGATTGGTTTGACAGATTTATCAGAAAAATCATACAAGTCAAAAGCTCAGTGACAATGTTGGCTGTGGAAGAGCGTTCTTGAGAACTTTTAGCTTATAAATTGATGGGGCAGAACTCATACATATTTACTGAAAATGGTAAATTTTTTTACTAATAATCTGTCTTTTATTTTTAAAAGTCAAGTGGTAGAGAACATCTGTGAATACAATGAAGAAAATCAATGTGGACAAATTTCAAATCTTATGCCCCAGAGAACTACTGAAGTCAAATCCTTTGAATGCTATGAGTGTGGAAAGTCCTTCCTGTTTCATTCATCACTTAAGAATCACACCAGATCTCATGCTGGAAACAAACCCTATCAGTGTAAGGAATGTGGGAAAGCCTTCCATTTTCTTGGTGGTTTTAAGAAGCATATGAAAACTCCTACTGAAGAAAAACCATATGAATGTAAGGAATGTATAAAGGCCTTCAGTTGTTCCTCCCTGTTCAGAGCACATATGAAAATTCATAGTGAAAAGGCAAAGTATGAATGTAAGGAATGTGGGAAAACCTTCAGTAGTTCTTCCCACCTCACAGAACACAAAAGAATTCACAGTGGAGATAAGCCCTATGAATGTAAGGAATGTGGGGAGGCCTTTAGTTGTTCCTCATCACTTTCCAAACACAAAAGAATTCATAGTGGAGATAAGCCATATGAATGTAAGGAATGTGGGAAGGCCTTTAGCTCTTCCTCTCATCTTAAAAGACATATAAGAATTCACACAGGAGAGAAGCCCTATGAATGTAAAGAGTGTGGGAAGGCCTTTAGTGACTCCTCAAAACTCACTATACATGTGAGGACACACACCGGAGAGAAACCCTATAAATGTAAGGAATGTGGGAAAGCCTACTATTGCCCCTCCTCCTTAAGTATCCACTTGAGAAAACACACTGGACAGAAACCTTATGAATGTCTGGAATGTGGAAAAGCCTTCTGTCTTCCCACTTTCCTGAACACATATGTGAACAATCAAAGTAGAGAGAAACCCTATGAATGTAAGGAATGTGGGAAGGCCTTCAGTTGTCCCTCATCCTTTAAAGCACACGTGAGAGATCACAATGGTAAGGTGCAATATGAATGTAAGGAGTGTGGGAAGGCCTATCGTCATTCCTCATCCCTCACTGAACACCTAAGAACTCACAGTGGAGAAAAGCCTTATGAGTGTAAGGAATGTGGGAAGGCCTTCATTAGTTCTTCCTATCTTACAGTACATAGAAGAACTCACAC